AAGAAATGGAGAATAATCATGAGTGGGCACACAAACTCAAGCACTAAGTTTGACAGTTTGGCTATGAGGGGACAGCCCAAACTCAAGGATGGACACAGTGGGGTCACCGCTGCCCCACCTCAGTCTTCTCCCTCTTGAGGAGGTGACTGCATGAGAAAGGCAGAGAGGGCTGAAGTGTTCTCAAGTTGAACTTGGGATGTGTGCCAGTTATCTATTGCCAGAAATACCACAAGTGGATGACTTTAACAAACAAACATATTCTCTCACAGTTTATGAGACTAGAAGTCTAAATCCAGACTGCTGACTCTCAGGGAAGGCTCTCTGTCAACTCTGAAAGATGCTGTCTTCTTTCCACAATTGTGAGCTCAGCAGTCCCTGAAGATCCCTGTGGGTTTGGGCATCAGTCTTCCACTGGGTCTAGTAGGTTGTCAGTACAGGGACTCTGGATCCAAAGGACATACTCCATTCCCTACCCTTCTTTCTTGATGGTGCTGAGGTCCCTCCATCTCTGCTTCCTTCTCTTTTTTATGTCTTTTGAGATAAAAGAAAATAGAAACTTCCCTTACATCAATCACATCAAGTCTGTGACCTCAGGGTGTGGCATTCCATTCTAACCACCTTATTACTGATTAGCTGTCTCATCATGGGGGAATGTCATCACTGTATAGCTGCCAAACCATTGGGAATCAAGGCCTAGTAATGTGACAGATTTTTGGAGGACACAACTTAACAAATTACTTTGAGGGTTCTTGTGGTACCCCAACATCTCATCATTGCAAGAAATCAGGCCTCAAGAGCATCCCTTTAACGGCTGCCAGCAGAGGTGTCAATGAAGAGACAACCTGGCCTCTTGCTCCCACCTGCCTTGTAAGCAGTTCTGCCTAGTTCACAAAGATGCTCTGTCTTCGGGATAAGTAAATGCATGCTAGGTCTTTGACATTGGGACTCAAACTCTTTATAACCAACATGGAGTATGTTCCTATTGTTGATGTGTGCCATCCAGCTGACTTGGCCTCAGAACAACCCAATGAACCATTCTCTGAATTTTGACCTTTCCTGAGCCAACCTCACTGTCTGTGACATACCTGTGACATACACTGCCACAATTACTGTGTCAATCCATCTCATCGGGTCTTCCTCCTCTGTGCTGACCCTTCTAAGCATATTCATCTCAAAGGACTGATCCCTCCTGGCAACATACCCAAAAATAGGTTAAGACAGAGCTTCAAAATCCTTACCTCCAAGAAGCAACCTGGTTCCACCATTCCAGGACAGACTTGTTTGTTTTTTTGCCAACTTAGAGGGATCTTAAATGAGATTTAGCCTTAGGTGAGGTAAGATGCTCTGCAGATGGTAACTGAGTCTCAATGGGGACTTGTATAGGAAGCCAAGGGACTGTGGGCTCTGAATAATCAGTTGCCCCCAAATTGAAAGAATTTGTTTGAATTTATATTCAAATTCTGTAAATAAACTAGTAGAAAACAAGAAAAACAACAACAGTTGTCCCCAACTTTTCTGCAAGCCAAGCCAGGCTCTGCCTGGGGATATAGTCTCTTCTCCTCCTATGCCCTCAGCTCTGAAAAAAGCGTAGGGTAGGTAGCCTCCTATTATCTAAATTCAGAGGTCTAAGGTTACCAGGAAGGTTACCTGGAACCCCTAGACCCAGGCATTCCTCTAATTTCTTTCCTTCTATCCCTCAGTCTCCAGTCAGATGATGTCTGAGAATGAGAGACCAGAATTCCTAACTGCCCTCTGGCTTCCAACTGGATCAGCCTCTGCTCAACCCTTGTTCAGCTTTCTCACAGGGACCTGCTGAAAATGGATCTACCCAACCAGAAACATGTGGCCAAACCAAGTCCATGCCACTGGCTGCTTTGGAGGGGGTGGTGTGTGCAGGACTCCCCAAAGGTTCTGGTAAGGTATAGAGACCCAGGTCATCTTTTGTATTCCAGTACTTCCTACTAAGACTCAGGAGGGCCTCTAACCTGGTCAGCTGCTGGAATATTTAGGTTCTTAGTTCTATCATGTACCAGAGGCTTGGGCTTTTCCCAGTTAAAGATTAAAATCTATCTGAGACAAGAAGTAAACAATGTAGGTACAGACTATTTCAAAAGTTATATTTTGGGAAAGCGTGATGGATTTTTGTGTTGGTTTCTTTTGAGGAGAGTTGGTACAAAACCAGAAACACATATAAAAGTAACTGCAGGTTCACATGCACTTGTAAGAAATAATAGCAATCCTGGGGAGAGCCATCTGGCTCCTGGGGAGAGCTGCCCGGCCTCTGGGGAGAACCATCAGGTTGCTGGGGAGAGCTGCCTGGTGCGTATGAGGAATTTTAATCTAAGGCATTTTCCTCCCTCTCCTCCTCCAGTACATCTGTAAGTAACACCTTCAAAGCCTTTCTCTTTGTAACTCTCAAGTTTGTTCTCTCTACATTTGCTCCCTTTCCTATAGGTAACCTGAACACTGAATCTTGTTCCAGAGCTGAACCCTGCACCCAGTTTCAGAAACAAAAGGGAAACATAACTGCCAGCTAAGGAAGTGGAGGTGGATGGAGCCACCACCACTGGACCCACCCAGACAAACACTTTGCAGTCCAGAGGGCAGAAATGTCAGGAAAATATCTTCTAACTGTACAAGAAGGCATGCAGCTTAAACTCAAGACCACAAGTGTTAAAGTGGGCTCCCCTTTCCCTTCATTTCAACACCCCATTCAGCATGGATGAAGCAACCAGACAGTCTGCACCCCATTCCCAAATGAGAAACCCACAAATGGAAAAGACAATTTCTTTGTTAAAAAAAAAAAAAATTAATCACCATTGGACTATGCCCACCATTACCCTGTCTTTTCTGGTCCCCACCAGATTTTTCTCATTTCCTTTACCAACTCCCTCTACCCACCAAATTGTGCAATCCTGCAATTTCATCCCTACCCATCCTCAGTCTTCTGTTCCCACCCTTACTCTTTATCCCCATACCTGCTTTTTTCCATTTAAAAAAAAATCATGAAAGAAGAGAGTAAATGGGAGAAAAAAGAAATAATAACAATCCTTTTTAAACTTTGCTTCTTGTTGTTATGTGCCATTGAGTCGACTCCAACTCATAACGACTCATGCACAACAGCTTTGAACCCTGCTCTATCTTAATCCAATTTCATAGTTTCTGACACACTTAACCCTATGACTCTAGTCACTGAAACAACCCATCTAACCCAGGGTCTTCCTCTCCTGCACTGTCCCTCTACCCTTCCAAGCATGATGTCCTTCTCCAAGGACTGGTCTCTCCTGGCCACGTACTCAAAGTAGGTCAGACAGAGCTTCAAAATCCTTGCCTCCAAGGAGAAACTTGGTTTGATCCTCTCTAAGACAGACCTAATTGTTCTGGTGGTCCATGGTATATTCAATACTTTTCTCCAGCACCATAACTCAAAGACATCAATTCTTCTGTCCCCTTAGTCATTGTCCAGCTCTCTGATATGATGACTTGGATCAGGTGTACCTTAGTTTCTAGACTCTAAACTTGGCTTCTTGTTGTTGATTGCTGTCGAGTTGAGGTTGACTCATGGTGACTCTATGAACAAAAGACCTAATGCCTTTCCATAGCTATTGTTGTTTCTCCAAGTTCATAGAGTTTCCAGAGGCATGTGGTTTAAGAAGTGGCTACCATTCATGCTTTCCAGCCAGTTTACAACTGGGAGCTCCACCAAACACTGTCCACAATGGGAAACCATTCTGGTATTTGATATCCCCATCACACAAGGTTCAGCATCATAGCAAATCCAGGTTACCTCATATAGCACATTGACGAAGAGTGGTGTGCAAAGTGGAAGAATGTTCCTCCAGATATAACAGCACTAGTTTCATTTAGCAGTGATTTAGCTTCTGTAAATATAGATCCAAAATTATGGTGTAATATCATAACCACAGTATTGACATGACTAAAACATGCCACTTTAATTCTGATTTTTTTCCAATAAGTGTAATTATCAACTCACAAAAACTTTCACCTAAACATACCTGCTTAGCAAATGGCCTAATATCCTCGTTCTTCTGCCACATCTGAAACTACCCTAAACTAGAAAGAAGTAAAAAAGAGGCAGGTAACAATACTCAGTGCACATTATGTCATGGTGTTTACTCATGTAATTCTCAAAACAGCCTGTTTTACAGATGTTAAGACTGAGGCGCAGATAGCCTGAAGTCCTACTGAGCTAACTCACCTGAGTCGACGATCTGCTAAGCACAGCATGAGGAAGGTTGGAGTATTCAAAAACACTAGTGCAGGTCTTGGGCTAAACGTCAGCGCGTGGTTGTCTCTGTCTTAGGGCTCCAACCAGAGAGGTTAGCGACATGGATACAACCAGATAGGTGCACTTGTGTAAAGTCAGAACCTCTGGTGGATTTTCAGCAGCAGTTAATTGCATGGGAGGAGATTGCCTCTGGTGGATTTTCAGCAGCAGTTAATTGCATGGGAGGAGATTGCAAATCTCCTGCGGAGTAGCTGGTGGCCTCGACCTGCACCCCTTCAGGATTGCTGAGCAGCTTCTTGCCAGAGCTCTCTAACAGATGCACTTGTTGTTGTGTACCACAGTCAGAATCAAACCATAGCCGACCCTCTGTTAGATTTTCAGAGGCAGTTATACGCATAGGTGGAGACTCCTCATCTCTCTCCCCTGGTGGCCTCGAATCCTTTGGGATTGTAGCGCAGCTTCTCTCCACAAGGTCACCAGACCTCTTTCGGATGCGCTACAGAGAAACTAAGCCTAGAGCCTGATCACAACTCCGGCATCCAGGATCCCCGCCGGACCCGCGGGACGCCGGGAAATCGCGCACTCTCCTCAACCCTCCTCCCCGACAGCGCAGCCCTCGGCTGCCCCCTGCCGCTGCGGGGTAAGTCCTGCACTCTAGACCACTCTAGTTTGTCTTCGCACCGCCCATTCCCTACCCCGCCGACTCAAGATTGGTGATTCCAGAGGTCTCCGAACCGCTCCGCCCTACGTTACCGGATTGGCTACATCCCCGCGCTGAGGCCCCGCCCATTTCCCCGGGTCCTTTGATCACGCGCCTGCTGGTTCTTCCGGGGCCCTGGAGCCGAGGGCGTTCCTGTCGGGGCTGCAGCGGCGGGAGGTAAGGCATGCCCGGCTTGGCAGGGTTGTGGGACTGGAGAGTGGGCGCACGAATCCACGCCTGGAGTATTGCCAAGATGGGCGGGCAGAGGGCAGCCCCTTGCCTGCGCTCTCAGCGCACCCCTGGCCTAAGCTTCGTAGTGCCGTGGGAGCTACCTCCCGCTGCTGTTGGCCAGCATCCTAGGAGCGGCCTGACAACTTACCCTCCTCTGGCATGTCCCCATCGTGATCGGGGACGGTGAGCACGCGACTGCGTACAGGCAAACCGAGTGCCTCGGAGACAGGAGCAGGTAGCTCCTGCCTTTCCCTTGGAAACCCAGGCGAACCTGGGTTAGTGTGGCCTTGAGCAATTTGTAGCAACCACAGACAGCTATCTCTTACATGTATCTGTCAGGGGGAACTGACCCTTCCCACTTCTGGCCCATCAGCCCCTGAAAGAAGAGGAAGGACCAGAGCAAGCCGCGGGTGGGGACCAAAGGTGACATCAGTCAGTACTCTACCCACTTGAAAGTGAACACCCTAGCACATGAGCCAAATGAGAGAGGGGGTCCAGGCCATATACCTTAGATGACACAGGGACAAGAAGGCCTGAGAGTCAAAGCACAGATGGACCAGAACACCAGAACCCTGGGCTATTAGATCTGGATACAGGCCAGAGCCTTCAAATTCTCTTGCAGAGGTTGCAGGGCAGGGCCCTCTTGTACCTCATCTCTCTACCTGCCCCAGTGGACGGGTGCCAGCTGTTCAGCACCCCAAGGAGTTTGGAGCAGCAGTCAGTACTTTAGTTGGGACCTGAAAATCAAGCATTTTAGTTAGCCGCCACCTCCTGAGCTGAGCACCATCCTGATTCAGGTATCACAACTGGGCAGGACTCAGGGCTGGATCTTCACCTGGTGTTCTTTACCTTAAAGGTTTGCTGAGTATGGTGAAGGAGGGGGGCGTCGCAACCCAGTATGCTTGCCTGGAGGACTCCAGTTCTAGAGTCGGACATAAAAGTTTTTCTGTATCTCCAGCTCTGGGGAGGAGTCCAGAGTTTGGACATCGGCCTCAAGTAAAATGGTTAACCTTCCTTCCTCCTTCCCAGGGAGCCCAGTGGAGGCGCCCTCCCAAGGGACCATACAGCCCATGCTCACTACCTGGCTCTCCGACTTGGGCTGTCACTGCCGATGTCATGAGTAACAGCACAGTGCCCAATGTCCCCCAGGCCAACAGTGACTCCATGGTGGGCTACGTGTTGGGGCCTTTCTTCCTCATCACCCTGGTAGGGGTGGTGATGGCTGTGGTAAGGAGCCCTCCACATACACTTTCACTAAGGTGGGACTGGATGGGCCTTGTGCAAATCTGCAGTCTCTCGGCCATCCTGCTATTAAGGGGATGGGGTGTGGCAGGTGAATGAAGGCATGGAAGTGGGCCCCTGCTGGTGGTGGGCATTCCTGGACTCAGCAACTCCAAGTGCCATTTCTGTTACAGGTAATGTATATACAGAAGAAAAAGCGGTGAGTGTCCTTTGTGTGGGTACCCTGTCCAGTGCTAGCTTGCAGACGTTCTGAAATTTCTCCCCATAGGATCTGAGTTTTCTGCATATATATATATAGGACATCCCTCAGCCCTTCTGATAATCCTGAAAAATGCCCTACACTGGAGGTTAGGTTTTCCTGCCAAGCCTCAACTTAGGGGGAAAATCATTGCTGGAGCTTTTGTGTTTTGTTTTAAACAAAGTGTTTCCTTGCCCTGAGAATAGCTAAGGCTTGAGAAATGGTCCTCACATAGTGGCAGGCCAGGTGCAGGCCATCTGTGAGGGGAACAGGCCCCTATGCTGAGACCTGTCTCCCTAGGGTGGACCGGCTTCGACACCACCTGCTCCCCATGTACAGCTATGACCCTGCTGAGGAGCTGCACGAGGCTGAGCAGGAGCTGCTTTCTGATGTGGGAGACCCCAAGGTGAGCAAGCACTCTGGTGGCAAGGAGAACCAAGGCAGAGGTAGGACGCTGATGTGTTCTGGCTCACTGCAGTCGTGAATTGACGTTGGGTTTCCCAGGCTCTAAGTCTTAATGGAGTTAATGGGAGGAGACTGCCCATCTTTCTCCTGCAGAACAGCTGGGGAATTCAAACCACATGCTTTTAGGATGGCAGTGCCATCCCCTAGCCTGGTCCTGCCCTTGACCTTTCCCTTTGGGGTTGTATTAGGATGCTTCCTCCAAAATTTCATCATTGATTCCCAAAGCCAGAGGCCAGCCTAATGAACTAGTCTACTCCTCTACAGGTGGTACATGGCTGGCAGAGTGGCTACCAGCACAAGCGGATGCCCTTGCTGGACGTGAAGACATGAACAGACAGACCCCTTGGCTTCATCTCCTGAGCCTTGGGCTCTAGGGGATCATAGACTGCTTCTCTTCCCCTCTCCTTGTGCCCACCCAACTTCTGTTGGGTACTGGATGTTCTTTCTCTCCCACCTACCCATTTTCTAAGCCCATGCAAACAGGCAGTTCCTACTTTCAGCCCTTTCTGAGCTCTCAAGTGTTGACAGGTTTTCCCTCAAGGCAAAGGTGACTGAGAGGGCTTTTATGTAGAGTCTGAGTGATGCAAAAGGTTAATGCACTAGGTAGGCTGCAGTGGTTATGGAAGGCCAAAGACCTGGCAATCTCCTTCCCAATTAGAAGCACATATGAGGTAGCCAAGTCAGAACTGACTGGTTACTTTTCTAGACTTCCCTAACTTGGCTTTGGCAATAGACTCCCAAGAGGGCTCTGGAGTGACTTCCATGGTGACAAAGAACCTGATGTATAGTATTCAGTATATATATTTTGTAAATAAAATGTTTTGTGGCTATAGGTGTGGTGTTCCTTCTGTTTCCTAAACTAATCCTAGTGCTATTATTCCAAACCACCCATTATATGCTTTTGGTTCCAACTGTACTTCAGGCTTTGGGAGCACCCATGACAGAAAAGGCTCCAGTCCAGAAAAGGATATTTTTTTATTCAAGTAACTGCAAATAGGAAACCAGAGGGGGGCCCCAGGCTGGGACAAATAATGGCTACCCCCTCCCCAACAGAACCAGGGGAGAGGGTGTACCTACACCCTGACCGGTCAACACGTGCCACCCCTCCTCACTCTGCTGCAGCATCCTAGGGGCAGGGCCCCACCTTCCCTGGGTCTGGGGTAATTGTAACCCAGCATGCTGTGCCCCAGCCCCTTCCCCTTGATGAGCATCTTGGGGAGGAGTGTGGGGGTACAGGGGGAGGCAATGAGGATGGACATTTGGCACTGGTAGCAGCAGCAGTGATGATGGATGTCTAAGAATGAAACACTGAACAAACAAACAAAATAAACAACCCAACACAACTGTCCAGAGGTAGTTTGTGAACAGAGGAAAAGATGGAACCAGAACCTTGGGGGTTGGGGAGGAGCAGGAAGGGTGGGAGTGGGCAAGGCTAGCTCCTGTGTTAGTGCCCCATTTGAAGAATGGAGAAATAAACCTAGAGTGGTAGCAGATAGTGTGTGGTGGTCCCAGACCACCTTAAAGTGGCTGCCCCAGGGAATCCTGCGCCTCCTTGAGCCCACTATATAAATGGTGGCTTAGGACCCCCACGCAGGAGGAGGAAAGGGCTCAAATCCCTGCCCTCATGAGTCCCAGTGGAGGGTCACTGTCCAACCTAATAAATGAGGAAGGTGTGAGACCCATCTGGTGACAGGTTGGGACACACTCAGGCCAAAGTCCCCCCTCATTGGTCACACCTGCTGCTACCAGTAAAGTTCAGTGGGGGACATGTCAGAATATGGGGTGCTTGGGCCCCTTTAAGGCCAGGGGAGTCCATCCAGGCCCCATTAAAGGGAGCCAGAGGGAAGAGCAGAGGGACCCAGACAGCAATGTCCCCATCCGAGAGGATGAGGGCACAGCAGATGCAGGTGCGGCTAAGTGGGCATTAGCCTTGTCCAGGAGGGAAGGGGTGGTGTGTGCTCGCTCAGAAGGAATCACTGGACACTGAACTGAGGGAAAACTGCTCCCCACTCAGCTGTGGGGGGTCCTACAGCGCTGGTGTGCTGTGTAGTGTGTGGTGTGAGGCGTAGGAGGTGGTGGTGCCTGGGAGGGGTTGGCGATGCGTGGGCCTGGGGGCAGAAATGGGGGTGTGGGAGCGGAGCAAAGCTGTCCAGCCCCGGAAGGAAACGGCTCCTTGGGTGGGAGCAGGCTGCATGGTGCGTCTGTCACTGCTCCTCCTCGGAGGACTCCTGCGAGATGCCTTCTTCCTCCTCCTTCTCCTGCAGGTGGGGGTGGGAAGGCAGGGCAGTCAGTCAGAACAAGGACTGGCTGGCCCCTCCTCTTCAGAGGCCTAGGAGGGGGCTTCGAGGGCTGGCTCAGGGGAGGGGTGTAGGCCACACTCGCCCCCATCTTGCCTGTACTCCCTGGCTCTTAGAAGGGGGACGAGATGAGTCAGGGCTGAGTGTGTGGATGACTCAGCAACCTCCATGGCCGGATTTCATTCATAAAAAAGGAGGAATTTAAAGAAGGGGGGGAACCACACACGCATGTTCCTTGCACACATATAACCAGAAGCCAGACCCCCTGCAGCCCCTAAGCCTGTCAGGAGGAGCACTGGGTGTATAGCAGAACTATGTGGAGGGGTGACTAGAAAGTAAGGGGCCCCCTACCAGGTGGTGCTGACATGTAAGGCAGGTGCAGGGCAGAGTTGGGCTGGAGCAGCAGGCAGTTCTGTGGTAATGGCAGGTTGACCCCAGGCCAGGGTGGGGAGGAAGGGGAAGTGTGCTGAGGGGCTCACTCACTAGGCGGGAATGTTGGGACACCACATGGGCCCACAGCCCCCGTGCCAGGCACAAACTCCAAAATAACTTATTTCCTGTTACTCACTCTTGGGTCTCAGCCAGCACCCCCTAACCCCACCCTAACCCTAGTAATGGCTCAACTAGAGGAATGAGTGTCTCAGTGAGTTGAGGGGGTAGGTTGAGGCCAAGAGGAACAAAGGTGGGACTCCCCAAGCTGCAGTGCACCCCTGGAAGTAGCCCACCCACGCCCTCCACCAGTGATCTGGGCTCCAAGATAGCGAACACCTGGGTCACTACATCAGGAGTGATGGGATCATGCTTCAGTCTCAGGGAGCACTGGCCCCCCCCAGGGCTGAAATCTTTTACTATTTTTCCCTCCTTACTTTTGTCCTTCCCCTTAAGGCCTCAGTGGGGCCAAATCTCACTTTTGGCCTTAGTTCCTTACTGTTCTATGAACAGAGGGGGCAAGAGGTAGGGAGGGCAGGGCCATCTGGAGGCTCAGTTCTGAGTGCTGGGCACCTTGGTGGGCCCTGGACAAGCCCCCTTCCCCTCCCTAGATCTCTGTAAACTCTGTGCTGTCTCATACTCATGGCCTGTGGGGCAGGAGTCTTTCCACTGCACGTCTCCTTGACCTGGCATCACCCATTCTTAACCCTCTTCCCCCACCTAAAGTGCTAAGGTGATAAGCAGCAGATGCTCCCTCACTTACCAGTTTTTTGGGTCTGCCTCTTGGTTTCCTCCCTGGAGCTGTGGTGGTTTTCTAGAGGGTAAAAGAGATCTAATAAGTCCAAATGCCCCAGTCAAATTCAATGCCCAATGTGCCAGGTCAGGGAGAAAGGCAATGGGGAGGGGCAGGCACAAAGAGGAGGGAACTGCCCAGCCCTGATCAAGGCAGCCCAGGATGCTCACTCCAGCCCAGCTGGCGATGACTGGACCATCCACCGGCCCCCACACCCCGACCCTCAACACAAACGCCCCCCATTCCCTCCACCCATGACTCAGAGGATATGAGTCGTGTTTTAGGAAAAAAATAAAAAACAAAACTTTTCTGAAAAGCTCTGAGGCTCCCATGCATCTGGCCTTCACTGCTTATCCCACATCTCCTCTTGCTCTGAGACCCCAGGACAGAATGGAGCATTCTATTTCAGTTAACTGGACAGAAGAGCTGCGTCCTCTCCCCTATTTTGCCTTTTCCCCAGAAGCAGATGTGACTTCATGTTCCCTTGGCCCTACACAGGACCAAGCCCATGCAAGGTGGGATTTCCAGTCACCTGCTTTCTTGTGTGTGCCAGAAACAGTCTACAGAATTAAGAGGGACAAGCCAGTCCATGATCAATCACCCCTATGGCTGCAGCCACCACTACACAACAATGGATTTCTCCTTCCTTGGGAGTCTTACCCGGGTCTTGGCAGCACCCTTGTTTTTGCTTCCCTTTGGTCGGCCCCGAGGTCTCTTAGGTGTTGGCACTTCGCTGGGCTCCTTCTGCAGAACAGACAAGGCAGTGAGATAGAGGGGTGCAATGGGCATCCATCTATCTATCTATCTATCTATCTATCTATCTATCTATCTATCTATCTATCTATCTATCTATCTATCTATCTCATCCACTTTAGAAGGCCTCCAGCAGCAAAGTTAAGCCAGAAAACCCTAGAATTCAGAAACCATAGCAGGTAAAACTCTCTGGGTAGAAGACCTCAGTCTGATCTTCATACTTTCTCTTGCTTCCCTGAGGATAAGGCCCAGAATGATTGTGATAGAAAGATACTGTTAGGCAGCTTTGTCACAACTGGCTGGAATACCCTGACCCCGGGGCTTATGCTAAATGTCTGAACCTCAGCTTCTCAATCTGTAAAGTGGTGACAAGCCTTACCTTGCAGAAAAATTACATAATGGGGTCATGATCAGATGCTAACTGGACTGTCCACCCTCAGGTGGTACATATTTAAAACTGTCAGGGATGTAAAAAAAAGATCCCCCCTCCCCGTAAATCTGGACTCTCCCCTGCTTCTCAGGGGAAAGGAAATTAAAACCCCCAATTTCTCAGATCTGACACTGAAATTTCTTATTCTCAAGGCAGACTAGAAAGCTTGGTGCATAAAGCATAGAGCTGAGCAATAAAGGCTCATCAGCTGCTGATTCTGAGGGGCAGCTGCCCACAGGATCATTCTACTATGCCTGTTTGCATGGATGACACAATACAATTCCCCTGTGCCAAAAGTCCCCACCTTTTGAGGCAAGAAGATAGTGAGAAGGCTAAAGAAAAGAAAAAATGAAGCCATCCTCACATGACTGTAGGCAGCCAAATTCTAATACACACTGAGTCTTCAGAGCTCATGCTGTTGAACCAGAACCAACTCATGGCTAGTTGACTCTCCAACAAGTTTTCAGGAGACTAGCTGTAAACAGCATTGAAAATTGAGCCATTGGTGGATTTAAACCACAAGGGAGATGCCAATTTTGGGTTTACGGTGCAACTCCTTTATAGACTTCAGAGTTCCTTCCATGTAACACAAAGATTCAGAAATTGGTCAATACAGGAGTTGCCTTCTTACAGGCTAGGAAGACTAAGGCCTCCACATTTAAGAAGCAAGCCACCCTCGATTTCTTGTGTTTCTTCCCAGAGAAGGATCAAAACTAGGCTTCACAAATATCTTCCTGTTTGGGAGACAGCTGTTTATGAAAAACAAAACAAAACACTATGTCCTCTTTATAACACTGTTTCCCCACAAAAGGCCTAGCTCCCTTGGGTGCCCCAGACTGCCAGCTGGCTTTCTCAACCCTGTGGCACCTTACTGGTGGTAGGAAAGTTCCAAGGGTCTTCCTCTTTTCTCAGCATAATTCTAAATCGTGGGCCTTAATTCCATCTACAGAGCCCAACCCTACTGACTATCCTGCAAACAGAGGCAGGGAGGAGACGGGAAAAGTAAGTACAGGAATTTGTAGTTGTTGTTGTTGTTATGTGCCGTCGAGTCATTTGCGACTCATAGCGACCCTATGTACAACAGCCCTAAACCCTGCTCTATCCCGTGCCATTTTCATTGCCTCTGACACACCCATCCCGATTATCCCAGTCACTGAATCAATCCACCTCATAGAGGGTCTTCCCCTCCTGCGCGGTCCCTCCACTCTGCCCAGCATGATGTCCTTCTCCAAAGACCTGTCTCTCCTTAGAACATGTCCAAAGTATGTCAGGCAAAGCCCCAGAATCCTTGCCTCCAAGGAGCAGCCTGGTTTAATCCTCTCTAGGATGAATCTGTTTTCTTGGTAGTCCATGGTACATTCAATACTCTTCTCCAGCAACAGAGCTCAAAGGCATCAATTCTCCTTCTTTCCTCCCTATTCATTGTCCAACTCTCATTCTTAGAAACTTTTATAGCAAATTGAGCACAGTTTTTTGTGCATTGGCTCAAACAAGAAATAATTTTAGCCTTGTGTTTGTGTGTATATATACACATACGTTTATACCATCTTTCAACAATTTTTATTTTCTTCTAAAAGTACTGGTCTAAGGGAGCTCTGGTGGCCTAGTGGCAAGAAGCTACACTGCAATCCCAGAGATAAGCAGTTCGAATCCACCTGATGCTCTGCTGGAGGAGACTCCTTTACCAGGCAGATATGACTGGAGAGTACACACAAAAAACCCAATATATAAATAAATAAAGTATTGGTCTATGGCAGATTCCCTCAGCCAATCTCCCCATAGGTCTTAGGAGGCTGACCACAGACACAGAGGTGTGTATTGGACACTAACACAGGCTAGCTCCTTTGTGTGTGCATGTGTATATAGAGAACACATACACAAGGATGACTGTGACCAGTCCCCATTTCACTTGTTGAGACACCCACCACCTCCCTAGCCCAAAGAGTTGTAAAAGCAAAGCGAAAGTTCAGACACCCACCTGACTCCCTACCAGCGCTGTCCCAGGACTCACCGGAGGCTGTTTGCGTGGCCTACCCCGACCTCTCTTCTCAGTGCCATCCTTTTCCTGTTTGGAAGCCAAAGGCTGGCTGGACTTTGAGCTTGATTCGCTCATCTTCCTTTCTCAATGGAGCTGATGGAGAGATGGCTGGGATGCTGCAGGGCAGTTAAAAAAAAATTTAAACAAACTATCACCCTTTACCTGCTTTTCACCACTGATACTCTTCCGGAAACTTGACTTGCTCCCAGGGATCTTCCCTCTGCCAGGATGGAGGGTTTAGCCTTCCCCCACTATACTGCCAGAAGGTGGGGCAGGACTGTTGGTGCTATTCTACTCCTTATCTCCTGTTCAGAGGCTTCTTTGTCCTGTCCCAGTGCAGGCCCACAAGGCACAGCCAGCCCACAGATCTGGCTATGTGGGTTGAGGCCACCCTGGAGCAAAGGTGTGGGTCCAACACACTGAGAGATCCCTCCCTCTGTAGGCAGCAGCTCGACCTTTTTTTCTCTTAACAAGGAACCCAAGGTCTTGAGTACTTGAGAACAGGCACAGGAGCAAAGGATCTGGTGGCCAAGTAATCACCAAACCTCTCATTTATATCAATCCCCTCCCCAATCTATCAACAATATAACCTACCTGGCAAAGTTTAAGACTCAAGGCAAAAAAAACAAAAAAAAAAAAAAAAAGCACAAACCCACAAAGGTCCAACCATGACACTCCACAGCCAATCACATGGTCAGCATGGGTGACTCCACAAGCAGTTCTCTACTCCAGAGGATTAAAAGATAGGGACAATTGAGAAAAAAAGATAGGGACATGGCTGAAATGCCAAAGATAAGGAAGGAAAGCGGAAAGGGTGCTTGCACCCCTGAAAGCTCCACAGCAAGAGTCAGATGATGTTTTTTCTCCTTGATGTTTAATAGAGAAGAGATTTCTACAACTGAGAGACTCTGACAGACCTTACCCAAGCCCTAGGGGGTCCTAGCAGGCCTCACTCCCATCCTACTTGGTCATTTTTTTGGCACCTTACATCTGTTTTGTTTTAATCAGTCCCATAAATTTTTAGTGTCTAAATCACCCACTACAAGAATATGTAAACTATTTTAGAGCCTCTTCCTGAGACAAGATTGCAACCTGCACATCTCCATCCTTACTCCCTGTTACAGACAGGGAAATAAGGAAACCTGGTATACTTCCTCAATAACCAGTATGCCTGCCTTTGGTGAAGGGTGGATCTACGAGCCTCAACGTCTCTTTCCATTTAAAAAACAAGGTAGTAAAACAAGGTACCTGACTCAACTACACTCCACACTGAGCTCAATCTTCCTTTTCTAATAATGGGCACCGGGGGAGGGGGAGAAGAGAATCTTCACTCTAGACAAAATGAGAATTTATCATCTTTTTAGGTCTTTGAGTAATTCCAAATTTTAACCAAAGAAAAAAACCAGACATTTCTGTAAACTTGTGACTTTCTGGAGGGCCCGAGGCCCCCATCCTCAAGTATCAAGAGGCCCGCCAGACGGCGGGACTTTGTCTTAGTAATCATTCTATTTTGTAATATTTCAGACTTGGAGACCCTTTTAAACAAGGTGGTTAGTGATTTATCCTGCTCCGTCATTAGTGGCTTGGCCTGCTCTGTAATTACAGGCAATGATTAGAATCTTATATTACGCCACAGGTCTCCCTTAAAAACTAAACATCAAAATTAATCAGCTAAATGAGGGCTGACCTCACATGAGGTTTGCCGGCCCCCCTCCCCTTACAGACGGGGTTCCAGCTGAGCTTAGCCAGGCCTGAATCCCAGAGGCTGGGCATCCTGGTGGGTCTCCTCTCCCTGGAAGCTCTTATCCCCACGCCCCTTACTGCTAGAGACCCTTTAATCTACTCACACCCCTTTCCCAGCCAGGCTCTTAAGACCAAAATGAAAACCCGAGGCCTTCTTTAGAGAGGCCAAGAAATGCTTCTCTCTTCCACCTGTTTCTGAACATCATCCTGGAGGTCTGACTTCGAGAAGGCACATTTAGCGACCAAGTTTAGTGTCTCCATTAGCAGAAATTCTGCTTGGGTCTCAATGAAGTATGCCTCAAATCCTGTACATTCACTATGTTTGCAAAAATAACCCTAGAATAATCTGAGGCAGTTCTTCTTGTGTTCCAAAGGAAAAATGGCCCAGAGAGGCTTGATGAGTAGTCCAAGGTCACACAGCAAGTTGTCCAGCATATACTCGAGTAGATTTCTGGCCACTGCACCCGCCCGCCGCACTTTTCTTCCCCACCTGAAGGCTGGTTCCGTCTCTGTCGTCCCCTGATACAGACCACTCCCCTGGGTGACTCTGCATGTGCCTACACTCGACCATTGCAGGCCAGGCCAGACGGCGGGACTGGGAACCTGGACGAGCGGGGGGAGGGGCAGACTACTCCTGCAGGCGCGGGAAACCGGCGCACCCCGACCGCATGCACCGCCACGCGGGTGCACCCGGCCCCATTTCCTGCCAGAGGGGGCACCCAAGCCCGCCTTGGGGCAGGAAACCTGGCGCGCGCGCGGGCGCAGGAGAGGAAGAAAGCCACCTCGCTCTGCTCCCTCACGCAAAATACCCCCAAAAGAATAGAAACGGGGAGTCAAGGGAACTAGTTCCAACAGCACCCAGCAAAGCAGAGAAACCAGTTTGTGGGGGCGGAGGGCAGGCCCGGCCCTGGGGGCTGAAGAGGCGCGAGCCAGGCTAGAGGTGGGGTCAGGGTGAAGCCCCAAACCCAGGCCTGCGATTTGGCCTCATCTGCGGAAGAGGGACTAAGAGAAAGGGCGAAGGGAGTTAAGGGCGAATTGCGGGGTGCTGGCCCATCCCCCTCACTTCTAGAACTTCCCCAGGTTACGAGGGGAGCCCGACTCCCCCCTCCACTCTCCCGCGGCGCGGTAGCTTGCTGTTCTGCCCACCTTCCCAGCCGGGCTCGGGCGAGTGCGGCCGCCGCGCGAGGTGCACCGGGCTCTGCCGGGTGCACAACTCGCGCTCGCCGCAGACGCGCGCCCCCTCCCCCACCGCGCGCTTT